GAAGGTAAAGGCACTGTAAATGCCATATATGTCATCAGAACAACAATAGAACGTGCCCTAGAAGTTCAGAAAGATCTTTATTTATGTTTTATAGACTACACCAAGGCATTCGACAAAGTTAGGCACGACAAGATCATCGACAAGCTGGAAGTCCTCAATATTGACGGGAAGGACTTAAGGATTATCAAGAACATGTTCTGGGATAAAACTGCTGCAATGAGAATAGAAAACGACATCAGCGAATACATACAGATTAAAAGAGGAGTCAGACAAGGATGTGTACTTTCTCCAGACTTGTTCTCCCTGTATAGTGAAAATATCATGAGACACAGAAGAAATGCCGGGTATCTCGATAGGGAGACATAATATAAACAATCTAAGATATGCAGATGACACAGTCCTAATAGCAGAAGATGAAGAACACATGCAGAATCTATTAATTGTCATCGTACAAGAGAGTGACAATATGGGCTTAAGCCTAAACATCAAGAAAACCGAAACGATGGTGATAAGCAGAAAAACCCCAATCCCAACATGCAATATCAAAATCAATGATACCACCCTCAAGCAAATACAACATTTTAAATATTTGGGGACCATTATATCATCAGATGGTAGATGTCACACCGAAAATAAAAGCCGCATTTGCCAAGCAAAAGCAACCTTCCACAAAATGAAACAGATACTAACAAACATCAATCTGTCACTGGAAACGAGAAAAAGAGTACTGAAAAGTTACAAAGAGCCAATCCTATTATACGGGTGCGAAGCGTGGACAATCAATAAACAGCTGGAAAGAACAATTGTAGCGACAGAGTTGTGGTTCATAAGACGCATGCTACGTATCCCATGGACAGCTAGAAAAACAAATGAAGAGGTCCTGGTTGAAGCAAATTATAGAAAACAACTTATAACGAATATAAGAAAACGACAGGCAAATTTCTTCGGACACACAATGCGGAAAGAAGCATTAAAGAATATTGTAACAACAGGAAAGTTCGACGGAAAGAGAGGCAGAGGTAGACAGAGGGAAAAGATACTGGACAAGATGACAACATGGTTGGGAGCAGCAAGAACAACAGACACCATTGCTGCAGCGCAGGACAGGGTGAAGTGGAGGTCCATGATCGCCCACGCCAGTCGGCAAGGCACCGGATGATGATGATATATACATAGGCCTACATATCTAATATACGTATACACCCCACGCACACTATATATATATATATATATATATATATATATATATATATATATATATATATATATATATATATATATATATATATATCGACATTTTTCTTGACGATTAGAGCTATCATTTTTTATCAAATTTTTAAATATTTTTTTTTTACTCAACAGGGTCAATGTACATTAAAAACACATCTGAGTGATCTTTTAAACACCGTGGATGACATGTGACAATGACAATCATTGGGGACCATCAATAATTTATTTATAGAGGCACCAGCCATCCACGTCCAGGTGCTGCTTTAGCCGACAACCATTTGGGACTTTAACGGCAGAGTGTGAACTAGGAAGCCGACGTGTGAGAGATACATGGCACCACACAGTGACAGTGAAACAGATACAAACAGCCGTGGAGAAATGCTATTACAGGTATGCGCAGAACATGACCTCGTCATATAAAATACCTTCCTTTAACACAAAACAAGTCAAGTTAAAACTTGGTACAAATGGAATGCCCTAAAGACAGCATCTCAAATTGTCGTTATCCTGGCCAAAATATCCAAAACTGAGAAACATCAGATATTCAAGAGTGATACCCAATTACACCATAGACACTGACCACAGACCAGTCATCGTGACTATCGACACATCAAACAGGAAAAGGCCAGAAGTAAGGAAACGGCGAGAAATCGCGAATCTCATAAATATAAATGACGATACTAAAGATGAGATACATGAACGTATGAAAGATGTATTTCAATAATAGCCCAAACAACCGGGAGACATTGAAGAGGAATGGGGCCACTTCAAAGCACATGAGCAATAAAAGAAGAGTGCAGCACCAGGAATACAGGAGGGCAGAAAAGGAAAACAACTATATAGTGGAATGACCAAGTAAAGGAAGCCATCCAACTGAAGAAAAAGGCATTTAAAAAGTTGCAGAAATCAAAGAAAGAGGAAGATTACATTGTATACAGAAAGGAAATACGCCAAACAACAGGGGTAGTAAAAGAAGCTACGTAAGAACAGATCCTGGACAGTATATGGAGAACAGCTGTTGCTGGTAACAAGACGTAAAAAAGACCCCAGAGAGTTTTACAAGAACGTTAAACGCAATATGAAGCGGGAAGAACCATTCAACCCAACTGAAATAGTTAATGGTGAGAACGGAAACCCTATTTCAGTAAGCTAAAGATTAAGGAAAGATGGAAAAGGTATTTCCAGGAATTTGGACAAAGAAAGGTAACAAAAAGAGACTGTGGAACCTACGGAGGAATACACCTTCTCAGCCATGTGGATAAAATGTTTGCCAAGATACAGGAAATGAGAATGAGACTAATTGTAGAGACTCAACTCAGTGAATACTAGTTTGGCTTCAGAAAAGGCAGGGGCTGTACTGACGCATTAAGTCAGTTGTGTGAGACTGCTATTGTACATGGCAAAGACCTCAATATCGCCTTCGTGGACCAGGAAAAGGCGTTCGGTCGGGAAGTCTTAGAGGAATATGGTGTAACTGGACAATTGTTGGAGAACATTATGGCACTTTATAAAAACAGCCTATGTGCCGTAAGATCAACAGAAGGACTATCGGACTGGTTCCCCATCAGGTCTCGGGTGAGACAAGGGTGCGTTCTCTCTCCGCTTCCTTTCATCACTTACATGGATAAGATCACGAAAGAAGCAAATGACAACATCACTGAACTGAACGACCTTCTATTTGCTCTAAATATTCTAAATGCTCTTATTATTGTTATTTGTTCATGAACAGAGTATATTAAATACAGATGAAGAGGAATTACAAACACACACCACAAAACTAAACGAGGAATGTAAACACCTAGATCTAAACATGAAAATCTCCATCTGAAAAACAGAAGTTCGGAAGGTCAGCAGAAACCCAGGGAACTTCAACATCCTTATTGACGGAACACAACTCCGACAAGTAGAGGAATTTAAATACACACATCCCGACCGAAGTGAAATCCCAGCTCATCAATAGCATCTTCATACCAATGCCAAACATGGTCTCTAAACAAGGCACAAGAAAGGAAAATCAATTCATGCGAAATGAGGTGTCTCCGCAAAACAATCAACGTCACCAGAAGAGACCGCATAAGAAACGAAACCATAAGTCTAAAAACCAGTTTATCACCAGTAATAAGATTCATAGAGCGTTAAACAGTCAAACGGTTTGGACATCTAACCAGAATGCCCCAGAAACAACTAGCGCCTTGAGCTTACAACACCCGAAAATCCGGCTTCAATTCAAGAGGAAGACCAAAAGAGACCTGGATGGATGGGGTTAAAAAGGTTCTGGAACAACATAACATATCTATCACAGACGCTACACATCTAGCACAGGGCCGACACCTGCACTCCCCTCGACATCCTAAGGATACTAGAGGAGGGAAAAAGTAAGCATAGTACATGTAAGTAAAAACACATTCTCTGTGGACTGTTACTGAAAAACGTTGACCAAAGGCAGAAAAAGGTAAATTTGCAGTTTCCCAATCACACTGAAGCTTTGGAAGTCATTAAATTTTGGCGCGCTAGTTTCTCACTAATTTAATCTCTGACACCAGGCCTACTACAATCGCAAAGGTCTCGACTTCAATTCAAGATAAAAGGTTGTTTCTTTTTTTTACCAACTGCAAGACATACGAACAAGATTTAAGATGATGTCAATAATGGACGAAAGCCTGATTCCACCACAATACAAAGCCCAAAAAAAAAAGAATTCATGGCTTTAATTTTAATCTAATGTTAACGTTCTTTTTACAAATCTAGTCCTGATATGAATAGGCACACAAATTACTTCAGATTAGGAGCAATAAAAATCAAAGTTGTGTCAATTTGTTTGTGTATGTGCACTTCTAAAGTAAAATGTGAATAGGAAGAACAATATTGTAGCCAACATTTTTTTCAAGAAAAATACAAAATGCTAACAAAAGAATCAAAAATTGTATACGTAATACAGAGGAACGTAGCATTTCACCAAAACAAATTGGTTCTAAGTATAACATCACACAGGCAGAAAGAACAGAAAGCTTTATTTCAAAACCCACCCAGCTTCTGCATTGGGTTATGAAATGAGTGAACAGTGATAGCATATTTACACATTTTATAACATCTGTATTGAAAGACATCTTTTAGTAGAATTTTAACAGCTGATTTATAAAAAGAAGAGGTTACGTACAAGAGCAAAACCATACAAACAAAACATGCAAAATTGTACAATAGTAAACTTACATCATTTAAATATGATAAAGCAAAAGTACAATGAAGAAAAGATAAAAAATAAAACAAAAGTAATACTGATAGCCGTCATATCTTAATGTATGCCTTCAGGTGCAAACCGAAACATTGTAAGCAGCACAGAGAAGACAACCCCCCCCCCCCCAAATAAACAGTCAAAGTACACCGTACATAAAAACATAGTGATATTAAAGAACTATTTCAGTAGAATTTTAACAGCTGATTGATAAAAGGACTAGCTGGGCCCCCTTTCAATGAAAGGAATGATCGGTGCTTTAATGTCAACTAACAGTCATTGGCCTACTATATTAACATTCTACTGGAATGGGGAAATAAATCTTGAGAGAAGCAAAAAATTAGAAGGTCTAGATCTATAGGCCTACTCTCGAAACAAAATGCGCCTCGCGAAATATCACTTCCGGATTTTCTAAAATTGCAGAGACAGAAGCGTCGGCCTACAAAAATGATCGGCGAAATAAAGACATTTAGCTTTTTGAAGCAAAACTGTCTCAAAACTGAAAAAAGCAAGGGCGTCATGATCTGGAGATTATTTGATAGAATTTTTTGGCGAAAACCGCATGTCGATCGATGCAGCCATTAAAAAGCCTTTTGAATAGCAAAATTTGGCCATCACAAATAGATAACAGAAGAGCTTGTAGAAGAGCAAAAACTATATTACATAACGTTATTACTACAGCTAGGCTACAACAAACTAGATCAGAATCCAGGAGTTTGGTAAAAGTCCGGAGATCGCAACTGCATCATTCAAAGGACTCCGGGTGTGGAAAGTCTGGCTTTTGTACCGTACTAAACTAGTGGTTTGGTATCTGGGTTTGGAAAGTCAGTATCACTACTCCAATGCCAATACATGTAGTAGTACACCAGTTTTTGAATCAAGGCTTGGTGAGTCTAATAAAATACCATTTAAATGTAATTACATCCTGACAAAGATCCTGAAGTGGTAGATGCAGTCACAGGTTTTCCTGACAAAGATCCTGAAGTGGTAGATGCAGTCACAGGTTTTCCTGACAAAGATCCTGAAGTAGTAGATGCAGTCACAGGTTTTCCTGACAAAGATCCTGAAGTGGTAGATGCAGTCACAGCATTTTCAATTGTAGATCCTGAAGTGGTAGATGCAGTCACAGCATTTTCAATTGTAGATCCTGAAGTGGTAGATGCAGTCACAGGTTTTCCTGACAAAGATCCTGAAGTGGTAGATGCAGTCACAGGTTTTCCTGACAAAGATCCTGAAGTAGTAGATGCAGTCACAGGTTTTCCTGACAAAGATCCTGAAGTGGTAGATGCAGTCACAGGTTTTCCTGACAAAGATCCTGAAGTAGTAGATGCAGTCACAGGTTTTCCTGACAAAGATCCTGAAGTGGTAGATGCAGTCACAGGTTTTCCTGACAAAGATCCTGAAGTAGTAGATGTAGTAACAGCATTTCCAATTGTAGATCCTGAAGTAGTAGATGCAGTCACAGGTTTTTCAAATAACAATCCTGAAGTGGTAGATGTAGTCACAGCATTTTCAATTGTAGATCCTGAAGTAGTATATGCAGTCACAGGTTTTCCTGACAAAGATCCTGAAGTGGTAGATGCAGTCACAGCATTTTCAATTGTAGATCCTGAAGTGGTAGATGCAGTCACAGCATTTTCAATTGTAGATCCTGAAGTGGTAGATGCAGTCACAGCATTTTCAATTATAGATCCTGAAGTGGTAGATGCAGTCACAGGTTTTCCTGACAAAGATCCTGAAGTAGTAGATGCAGTCACAGGTTTTCCTGACAAAGATCCTGAAGTGGTAGATGCAGTCACAGGTTTTCCTGACAAAGATCCTGAAGTAGTAGATGTAGTAACAGCATTTCCAATTGTAGATCCTGAAGTAGTAGATGCAGTCACAGGTTTTTCAAATAACAATCCTGAAGTGGTAGATGTAGTCACAGCATTTTCAATTGTAGATCCTGAAGTAGTATATGCAGTCACAGGTTTTCCTGACAAAGATCCTGAAGTGGTAGATGCAGTCACAGCATTTTCAATTGTAGATCCTGAAGTGGTAGATGCAGTCACAGGTTTTCCTGACAAAGATCCTGAAGTGGTAGATGCAGTCACAGGTTTTCCTGACAAAGATCCTGAAGTAGTAGATGCAGTCACAGGTTTTCCTGACAAAGATCCTGAAGTGGTAGATGCAGTCACAGGTTTTCCTGACAAAGATCCTGAAGTAGTAGATGCAGTCACAGGTTTTCCTGACAAAGATCCTGAAGTGGTAGATGCAGTCACAGGTTTTCCTGACAAAGATCCTGAAGTAGTAGATGTAGTAACAGCATTTCCAATTGTAGATCCTGAAGTAGTAGATGCAGTCACAGTTTTTTCAAACAAAGATCCTGAAGCGGTAGATGTAGTCACAGTTTTCTGAAACAAAGATTCTGAACTAGTGGAAAAGACAGACTGTCCATTACAAGATTCTGAACTGGTAGAAAAGACAGACTTTCCAAGCCTAAATTCTGAAGTAGTAGAGGAAGTGACAGGTTTTTCAATCACATATTCTGAACCCGTAGAAATGACTGCAGTAGTGTCTGGCCTTACAGTTTCTTTGACAGCGTTGTCCTCTGCAGAGCCAGCCAGAGCACAGCTTGAACTTCCAGCAACGGTGGCGGGCTCTATTTTCCATGGTGTCGACGTGGAGTCCTTAGACAAACCCCTTATTTGTAAAGAAAAAAAAAACATTCTTCAATAAAGCGGCACATGCCATTCACTAGTGATTGAATAGATCCCCTTCAATGCCGCAGGTAAATAGGCCCCTATGCCGGGGGAAATCCCATGAACCAAGGCTGTTCAGGGGTGACCTCACTCTATCTCCCATAACTTTTTAATTTATATATGAACGAAGTGGCTAGCTGTACTAAAAGGCTAGCCTGCCAGTCTAGCCGTACTTATTTTAGGCCCTATTAGAAACCTGTTGAGTACACAGGTCTCACTAGTTGGCCTTGTTTATCCAGGTTCAAATCACATGCACTGTCAGTAAGGCACCTTTTGGTTTCGCCTCAAATACACATACTTTAGGTATTGCAATCTAATAATTTATTTACAATTCAGTAGGCCTATTTTTTGCTGTTTGTCAGTCTAGCTATCATATAAGTACGGCTAACCCAGCCGTCTAGCCGTCATTAAGTACGGCTTTATCAATCAAAAAACATTTCCGTTCTCTCTCTCTCTCTCTCTTTCTCTCTCTCTCTTTCTTTCTTTCTCTCTCTCTCTCTCTCTCTCTCTCTCTCTCTCTCTCTCTCTCTCTCTCTCTCTCTCTCTCTCTCTCTCTCTCTCTCTCTTTCATTCTCACACGCTATTTTTTCTGTCTCACAATCTGGAATACACATGCATATATA